CAGTTAAATACCTCAGGCACTACACCATAGTCTTTCAAGTAAGTCTCATTGTTGGGATTATTTTAAATTACTAAACAGTTTGTGAACATTTTTATGGTTCCTACAGTCACTGAGTGGTGCAAACTGTTAAACACTCCACCATTACCTGAAAGGTTGGGGATTAGAACCCACCCAGAGGCATCTTGAGGAGAGTCTTGGCAATCTGCTTCTGAAAGTTTACAGCTTTGAAAACCTATGGAGCAGTTCTATTCTGCATACATGGGGTCCTTATAAGTAGAAAATCAATGGCACCTAAAAATAACAAGATGGATAGAAGAAGCATTGGTCATTCAGTGGTAGAATTATCACTTGCCATGTGGGACATTGGGTTTCAGTTCCACAAATTGAAATTGACACAAGGGCAACTGACAATAACCCATACCAAGTTGCTTTCTCTTCAAAAACCAAAACCATTGCCATTGAGTCTATTCTGTCTCATAGTGATCCCTAAGGACAAAGTAGAACTGCCCCACAGGGTTTCCAAGGCTGTAAATCTTTATGGAAGCAGACTGTCTTATTTTTCTTCGAAGAGCTGCTTGTGGGTTCAAACTGCCGGCCTTTTGGTTAGCAGCCAAATGCCTTAACTAATGCACCACCAGGGGTCCCTCTCCTCAGAAGGACTGGTCAAATTACAAAGCCACCAGAAATGTATCAGTACACCTCTTAACCCCAACTCTGACAACATTTTTTTTTAAATCACTGAATTAGTTTTGCTAATTTTTCAGCAGGTCTGGTAAAACCTCATGGTAGGTTGCATTTCTTCATTTGAATTTCTTCATTATTAGAGATTAAAATTTTTTTCATTTTCCTACCATAAGTATTTGTTATTATTACTCTTTTTTTTCATATACTAAGGAAATTTTAAAAACCTTTGGTAAAATGTTTAAATAATAATGCTATACATAACTCTCATAAATTCTTGCATTTAGTTTCAGAATATTAATATTTTGGGGTCACCTGAAGTCCACTTTAGGAACTCTGGTAGCTTAGTGCCTAAGGCATTTGACTGCTTTCCAGAAGGCTAGTGGTTCAAACCCACCAGCCACTCCTTGGAAGGAAGGTTGGGCAATCTATTTCCGTGGAGATAATGCCGTGGAACCCCAAGGAGGGGTCGCTGAGTTAGGTCCAACTGGACATCAGTGAGTTTGGTTTTTGGTTTTTGAAGTCTACTTTGTGCAAAACCATCATAAAACCTAAGTAATTATAAAATAAAAATAATTGTAATTATAATTGGTGCTTAGTAGTACTAATTACCTGACACTGCCATATAGAAATCTAATTTAACACCTGGTGTTGCTTCCCTGTTTTGTTTTCTTTAAAAGTTTCAGGCTTCTTTGAGACTCTGATAATATATATATATATTATATATATATACACACATACAGCCTTCTGGATGTATCCTCAAGGCTTATTAAAATACTCAATACACATAGTAAGCTCAACAAGTATTTCTAAATAACTACTGAGGCTAATATGTTGCTTATGTCCTTAGACCATAACCCATTCCTATTCACAGAGCAAACAGTTAAAGTTTTGTAGAAATAAAAAATGGTGGCATAGCGCCTAAGGCATTTAACTGCTAACCAGAAGGCTAGCAGTTCAAACCCACCAGCCACTCCTCAGAAGGAAGATTGGGCAATCGACTTCCGTAGTGATACTGCCTCAGAAACCCAAGGAGGGGTTGCAAGAGTCAGATCCAACTCCACAACAGTGAGTTTGTTGTTTTTTTTTTTTTTTTTTTTTTTTAGTTATTCCTAGAAAAGAAAGATAACAAGTCTAACAATGGTGGTGGTGATGGGGTTGTTGCTTGCCTTCAGGTCAGTTCCAACTCATAGTGACCCCATGAGACAGAGCAGAGCTGCCTCACAGGGTTTTCTGGGCTGCAGTCTTTACAGTCAGAATGCAGTGTCTTTCACCCACAAAGCCACTAGGTTGGTTTGAACCACCAGAGTTTTAGTTAGCATCCAAGCATTTTACATTGCACAACCAGGACTCCTTATAATATTTGTTAACAAGCTGAGATTAATGTTTGAAATTTTCCTACTCTTGTGAAAAATTGGCTTCAAAAAACTAGATTTGAAATAGGTATTTTATAAAGGAAATTGTCATACATTGTGTATAATAAAATGCAGTACAATACACATGCTAAAGGATGTTAACTACACAGAAATATCATTAAATGGAAAGTAAAAATTCTCCCTCTGACAACTGGTTTAGAAGTATAAAAGACAAAGGGGGACAGATTTGAAAATTCTTTAAGGACTAGGACTGATACCCAGTCTCAATGAGTGGATGGATTATGGTTTTGTTTACAGACTAGGGAACACAATGGAAGAGAAGAATTTTGTTGAGGTGAAGAGGAAGAAAAGATAAGTTATTCTGTTTGGGGTCAGTTTATTTTAATCTCATTCTGAACATTCCATTGTTGTTGTTGTTGTTATTTGCCTTGGAGTAGGATTGCCCAACCTTCAGGTTGTTCAGAATGAGATTTCTATTTGCTTAAATAGCTAAATAGCCCAGGAAAATGGGCGCTCTGATAGCATAGTGCCTAAGGCACTTGACTGCTAACCAGAAGGCTGGTGGTTCAAACCCATCAGCCACTCCTTGGAAGGAAATTGGGCAATCTACTTCCGCAGTGATACTGCCTTGGAAACCCAAGGAAGGGTCGCTATGAGTTGGATCTGACTTGATAGCAGTGAGGTTTAGAAGTGAGAATGGCCAGACTTTTTCTCTTGTACTTTGGCCGTGTTGTCAAAAGCAACCAGTCCCTGGAAAAGGATATCATGTGTGGTAGAGTAGAGGGTCAGTGAAAAAGGGGAAGATCCTCAATTAGATGGATAGACACAGTGGCTCTGATGATGAGGTCAAGCATGGCAATAATTGTGTGGATAGCACAGGACTGGGCAGTGTTTCATTCTGTTGTACATAGGGTTGCTATGAGTCGGAACCAGCTCAATGGCACGTAACAGCAACAGTCTTTATGGAAGCACATTGCCACAGCTTTATCCTTAGAAGGGGCTGGTGGGTTCACACCATCAACTTTTGGTTAGCAGCCAAGTAGTTCAACCACCAGGGCTGCTTTCTTTCTTTTTTTCTTTTCTTTTTCTTTTTTTTTTTTTAGCATAGGAGGAACATTTTAGGGTTTGAACTATATATACCAGTTCCATCTAGTTGATTCTGACCTTGGTGACCACATGTGTGTCAGAATAGAACTATGCTCCATAAGATTTTCAATGGCTGATTTTTCACAAGCAGATTGCCAGGTTTGTCTTCTGTGCTTGAGTAGCATGAACCTCTAACCTGTCCATTAGCAGCCAAGCTTTGTTAACCACTAACACATGCACACACACACACACACACACAAAATCAGTTGCCATTGCCTTGGTTTGCACTTATGGTGACCCCATGTGTATCAGAAGATGACTGTGCTCCAGAAGGTTTTCAATAGCTGATTTTTCAGAAGTGGAACACCAGGCTTTCTTCTGAGGCACTTTTGAGAGGACTTGAACCAACAACCTTCTGTTTAGCAGCTGAGCATTAGCTGTTTGTATAAAGCAGGGACCACTACCACGCCTTAAACTGAAAGCAAAAAAAAAAATGTCACTGCCATTGAGTCAGATTTGACTCATAGCAACCCCTCCTTGGGTTTCTAAGGTGGTATCACTACGGAAAGCAGATTGCCCAACCTTCCTTCTGAGGAGTGGCTGGTAGGTTTGAACAACCAGCCTTCTGGTTAGCAGTCAAGTGCCTTAGGCACTATGCCACCAAAGCTCCCACTACCACACCTTAAAACAGGCTAATATATGTTGGCTGAACTGATACATGAATGAATCCAGCAGGAAGACAGTAAAGTGAATCTAAGATCCATAAGTGATGACAATAATCACTGAAATGAGTTTTATATTTCTTTTTTCAAACACAATGGGTTTTATACCTTTAGCTTTTTTCATTGAGCATCATGTATTAAGAACAATTACTTCAGTGATGTGGTGCAAAAAGTCTGTGAGCATTTACAGTAAAGATATAGAAATAAGATGCACTTGTAATAGACTTTAAATCACTGAGAAATGTTGATTTCATCTGTAATATACAACTACATACAACACAACCACTCATCTGTCAGTTTGTACTGTGGTGGCTTGCTCATTGCTGTGAGGCTAGAAGCTATACCATCAGTATTTCATATACTTGCAGGGTCACCCATGGTGGAAAGGTTTCAGTGGAGCTTCCAGACTAAGACAGTCTTGGAAGAAGGAAGGGGCCAAGACAGTCTAAGACAGTCTTGGAAGAAGGAAGGGGCCAACCACTTCTCAGAGAATTGGCCAGTGACAACTGAATGAATAGTTGTGAAACACACTGATGTATTACTGTAAAAGGACTGGGCAGTGTTTCGTTCTGTTGTATACAAGGTAGTTATGAGTCAGAGACGACTCAATAGTACCTAACAACAACAACACATTATTATATATAGTTCAACCAGAGCCTTAGTGGCACAGTGGTTACAGAGCTCATCTGCTAACCAAAAGTAGGTGGTTCCAACCCCACCAAGTGGCAATCTACTTCCATAAAGATTTACAGTTTTGGAAACCCTATGGAGCAATTCTATTCTGTCCTATAGGGTCGCTATGAGTCAGAATACACTGTACAACAATGGGTTTAGTTATATATAGTCCAAACCCTAAAATGTTCCCTCTAAGTGAAAAAGTTTATTGTTCACATAATTGAATGTCAATAGATAAAGGGGGGGGGGGCTGTTGAAGAAGGGGAGGGAGAGCCATGCAGTGCCATTTTAATGGACATCATTTGACCTTTTCTTGCTTATGTTTGCCTTCTTCTCCCCTACTTCCCTTTATTTACATCTGTTTTTCATCGTTTCTTCTTTTTCTCCCTTAAATCTTGCCTTTCTCTGGGTCCCTCTTTAGCTTCTCTTTCCCTCTCCCTGCCTCCTCACCCTCCCTCGCAGCACGCTGGTCAGCTCCTTTCGCCAGAGCGCCGGCTCAGCCCCGCCCACTCAGAGACAGAGTCACGAGTCTGGGGTCAGTGCGCTGCGAAGGAGGCGGGGCGAGGTGTGGACTCCTCAGCGCTCATGGGCGGAGCCGGGTGCGCGGGCCGCCCCTACTATATCTGCGCTTGCGCGGCGCTGCTACGGAGCCAGTCCTGACGGAGGAGACAAGATGGCGCTGCGGGCGATTCGCGGAATCGTGAACGGAGCCGCACCCGAGCTACCCGTGTCTACTACTGGGCCCGTGGTGGGAACTCGAGAACAGGCGCTGGCAGTTAGCCGTAACTACCTCTCCCAGCCTCGCCTCAGTGAGTATTAGAATGCAAGACAAATGCTGTCTTTGCTACTTAGCCCTGCCCCTTGCTCCCACTCACCTGCTTGGCCCTCGAGTGGAGGGTTACATTTTTTTCTCTGCGGCGTTCCCCTGACTCTGACCTATATATATCTTTCTAGAAAGATAGTTGTATGCACTCTACATTTCCGTGACATAGGTGGGCCGAGAGAAAGAGCATCAACGGGACCTTTTCCCTAGGGTGATGGGCGCCTGACTATTGCCCCACTGTCTCTAACTTCCCTAAGCTGGAGCATTTCCAAGCACAAATACCTTCTTCCTGCTTCGGAGGGCCACGTCTTGTCACTCCAGTCTTTATTTTCCCTTGATCTCATTTGGATATTTTGAGGGTCGAGGGAGCGCCCCTTCCCATCCCCACCAACAGGTGAGCAACTCGGGGACTGTCGTAAGTCTCCTGTCTAGCGCTGACAGTGTTAGTGCCATCGCTGACGTGGTCAGGCCTTTCGTTTATAGATGTCAGGCCCACAGCCAGAGGAGATGTGGCATGTTGTTATTAGGTGGAGGGGCTGCTCCACAGGAGGATACCTAGGTATCAGAGAACGCTAGCTGAAAAGTAACCTGCAGACCATCTAGTCCAACCCTCTCGTTTTACAGGTGAGAAGCCTAAGGTTCTAGGAGCTGTAGGGTTTGCCAGGTTTCAGATACCTAATTACTAATAGAGCAGGAACTAAAATTCCACATTCCTTAATTCTTGGTGGACCTTTTGCTAGCATTGTCTCTTCCTTTACCAATTAGTTAACTAGACTTGGTTGAGTGCAAGATTATCTTGGAAACACCAAGCTGCTTTGTCCATATTATATAGCTATGCATGCTAGATTCTGTGATTATTAAAAAAAAAACCTGAATATACCAGGTTTAAGTGGACAAGTCAGCAGTTCAGAAAGAAATGATTCCTGATTACTTGAAGAATACAGTTAGGTAGCATTAAACCTCTTCACGGCTTCCTTGGAAACTGGGGATGAGCCCTGGAAGTAGACTTTGGGGAAAAAAAAAAAAAAAAAAAACTTGGAAAAGCGCCTGATGTTTCTTTCCCCTGGTGGTGAGACTGCATTTGCACTGGTTAATTGCCACAGTGCCTGTCCGTGGGTGGCTCATTGGTTAAACAGAATTTCAGATGAAGGGTTTTAGTCAGGGTGCTCTTCAGACTGACTAATCCTATCCTGATCTGTCACTGAGTCATGTGATTGCACTGCAGTGTGAGGAAGAAGGAAAGCACACTTGAGTCTGTGGATTGCTGAGATGTGCTTTTTACACTGGTAGTTATTTGTATTAGACTGTCTGTGGGGTATTTATATCACCTAAAGTAAATGTTTCTGGAAATTACCAGATGTTGCATTATTTTATAGACTTTGTCGATAAGTTTATACTTAGAATTACAAACTCTGTTTTATAAATTGCATTTGTATACTTTATTTGGGTAGAACAGATATTAATTAAATTATGCTTGTAGAAAAAGGTAATAAAGGTGCAGTAGTCAGTTTTCTTATAATTACTCATTCAGTGTCAATTCAGAGAGCATCAACTGAAATAATGATATCATTTAAACAGTACTCTATGATTAAAGTTGTAAGCCTTTAAGGAATATGAGTAACGTTCTGTTTGTGTTCTTAACCAGAGGCCAAAGATTTTGTCCAGATGAGATTCTTCCCAGCAAAACTGTTGTAACATAATGCTCAAAATTGAACACATATAGATCAGGAATCCTTTTTTTTAAAATCCCTAGTGCCTAGCACATAGAAAGTGGCTGAAATTGTTGTATAGCTTGCATGTCAATTCCTTGTTCTAATAATTTATAGGATAGATTTTTAACATAGGTGAAATCAGTAAGGAGTTGAGTTATTTGTTTGAGTTGAGTTGAATTCCCCTTCTGTATCTTGGTTATTCTGAAAAACATAAATTATATACTTAGGCTAATAACTGACTACATTTGAATATCATCTTTTCCCTGTTTTTCCACTTTCTTGATTCTCCTGAGCACCTTTAATTGCTCCTGAGTATATATTGATTAACTTCTTAATTTTTGTAGCTAAAGATTGATGTCATCTTAGCTGATACGTAATTATAGCTATTTAATATATGCTTTTTGCGTGAAGGAATGCAATAATATTGGTAGTTCCACTTATAAGCTAGGCCCTGTTTAAAAACAACTTTAGGATTATAATGATATTAAGAAATGAAAAATGAGCTATACAGACGTAATATTAGAAAATGATCTTCCACACTTTAGTCAGATTTCTAAAGTCACAAGAAAAGAAAACTTGATTTTCTTTTAAACTTTGAGCAAGGTTCAGTAATATACATTGTTTTTGTGCTTAAAACACTTTGAATTAGATTGTCTCCATTGTTCTTGAGGCCATAGATCAACTAACCTTGAGTTTCTTACATCATAAACTGCAGCTAGCCCCAGCAAAAAGTCAAATTAAGGAATCTTTGTCTTTTTCTCTAACTTCTTCCTTAGGTCTCTACTATTCTTGCACAATTTAAGATACTTGCTCTGGATTTTTGTTTTACCAGTAAGGCGGAGGCTAGGGCTAGGTCTCTTATTGTGCAAGGGCTGTTGAATTTTCTTTTTGCAAATTTCACAATCATTAAGTGGTGTTGGTAGTGTTGAATTTCATATCCTGCAGGAGGAAGAGGATGTCGTCTGACAATATGCACTTCTTCAAATTTTGTAGCTTTTGGTTTTTAAATATTAGTACATAGATATTGATTGAATGCTTGACAGATCCAAATCAGAGATGTGACTTTTTGGTTGAAAATGTGTTAAGGATGTAATGTAAACATGTATCTGCTGTGTTGTCATTACAAGGTCTGATCATCTCATGCACACCTACTTGTGGACCCATGTTCTTGTTCATTTGGAAATTTTCAAGAGAAGAGTGGCCATTATTTTGGTAAATAGAAATTTTTATGGAATTTTTTAATGGGTTTTGACTTTTTTGAGGAGCTAGGTTCATATCTTTGGCAGCCTTACTCTAAGTTGGCATCTCTGCTTTGAGCTGTTATTGGTAATGGCTGGGTAAATATTGTTGAGGAATAAAACATAGAGTTTGTTTTTTTTTTCCTTTGAAAATTAGTATCAGTATTCTGAGTACTAGGAACTGTGTAATCTCTGTATTTTTAAATTATACTAGACATTAAGTTCAGAAATAATATTAGGTTATTCATATATAGAGAGAGAGATTTCTAATCCCTTATACCTGTTTTGTAACAAAGCATCGGTAGGCAGATCACTTATTTCTCAGAGCCTTAGTTTCTTTAAGTTTAAAGTGGGGATGTTATGAGTCTTGCCTACCTCACTGTTCTATGAAGGTGAATTGAGATGATCTGTTTGGAGATAGGGGGATAGTATTGGTTCAGTGGTAGAATTCCCACCTTCCTTGTGGGACACCTGGGTTTGATTCCTGGCCAGTGCACCTCATAGTGCAGCCACCAGCCGTCTGTCAGTGGAGGCTTTTATGTTGATGTGAAGCTAACAGCTTTCAGTGGAGCTTCCAGACTATGACAGACTTGGAAGAAAGGCCTGGAGATCTACTTCTGAAAATCAGCCAGTGAAAACAGAATGGATCACAGTGGTCTGATACAACTGATCATGGGGATGACACAGGGCCAAGGCAGTGTTTCATTCCATTGTGTATGGAGTCGCCATTAGTCTGCATGATGCGGTGGCAGCTGACAACAGTGTGATGATACTGTTTAAAAGAGTGAAGTACTTTCTAAATACAAGATTTGGTAGTATTTTTATATAGTTTGGGTGATGAAGTTTCCAGTATATCATTTATTAGTATATACCATAGCCTTCAAGTTGATTCCAACTTGTAGCATTCCTGCAGTGTAGTAAATTACTTAGGGCTTTTCTAGCCCTAAGTCTTTGTAAATTCCGTGGTGGAATTTGCCACGAGCAACTGAGTAGCTCCTGATGGTTAAGGTTATCCACCTGGGGTATTTCTGTTGGCATTGGCAGGAAGCAGTCTTCTAGGAAGTTATCTCTCTCTCTCTCAGGTGTATAGAATTCTGATGTTGGTATTGGTTAATTTGGTCACTCTGCCAGGCTCAAAAGGAGCCCTCCTAGAGGCAGAAGGAATCTCTCACTGCCAGCTGGGAGATGTGAGAGACACATGCTTTTGGAAGAGAGACACAGAGAGACATGCACAGCTGGGAGAGAGACTGAGAGAGACTGTTGGCTGAGAGATGGCAGGCTGAGAGAGACTGAGCATGTTCTTGAACTTGAATTGTAGCCTCTTGCTTCCCTAATAAACAATAATCTGTTGAGTTCTGTGTGGCCACTGCAGCAAATTATCAAACCTAGCAGAGAGGAGCTCTGGTAGCATACTGCCTAAGGCACTTGACTGCTAACCAGAAGGCTGGCGGTTCAAACCCACCAGCCACTCCTCGAAAGGAAGGTTGGGCAATCTACTTCCATAGTGATATTGACTTGGAAACCCAAGGAGGGGTCGCTATGAGTCGGATCCGACTTGATGGCACATAACAACAACAACAACAGCAGAGAGGTGGTGGGTGTTGTGGGAGGAACAGTTGGTGTCAGGGTTGGTGAAAGGGCTGGAGGGAGGCAGCATGTATGGCCTTTCAGGGATAGGCCTTGGGCTACTGATGGTGATTCTGTCTTCCCCTGTGGGGTTAGAGGAGGTCAGAAGATGCAGCCTCCTTGCCCCTTTGGCAATCCCTGTAGAACAGAGTAGAGCTACCCCATAGGGTTTCTGTAATCTTTACGGAAGCAGACTGATGCTTCCTACAGAGCAGCTGATGGAGTCAACTGCTGACTTTTCAGTTAGCAGCCAAGCACTAACCATGGCACCACCACAGGTTTTTATTTATTGATTTAGTTTTTATATATGACAATTTAATTTAAACCAGGTAAGTTTATTAATGTTTTATTTGTATCAAAGTGGTCTCCTCCTGTTGTTCTTGCTTTCCAGTGAGGAAAAAACTACTGTAACATCGCCATCAGATACTCTGTTCTTTGCTTAAACTCTTCCAGTGACTAGGCTCTGTTAGAGAAGGATTGTTTTGCAGTATTGACAAAATGTGGACACTAGGAAAATATTGTCCACTGAATTGAGTAGTAAAAATGATCAATTTTTCATAACTAGCATTGCAGTCTTAATTAAATTATATGGGGATTGTAGCTATATAAAGGAGCTTTGTTCATGTACTGGTTAAGGCATTTGGCTGCTAACCAGAAGGTCAGTGGTTGGAATCCACCAACCGCTCCATCAAAGAAAGATGAGGCAGTGTACTTCCATAAAGATTTACAGCCTTGGAAACCCAGTGGGGGTCACTATGAGTAAACAATCAACTCAGTAGCAGCAAGTTTGGCCTAAGGCATTTGACTGCTAACCAGAAGACTGACAGTTCAATCCCACCAGCCACTCCACAGAAGGAAGATTGGGTAATCTACTTCCATAGTGATACAGTCTCAGAAACCCAAGGAGGGGTCACTATGAATTGGATACAACTCGAGGGCAATGAGGTTTTGTAAGTCTTGGAAATAAATATAAAAGTGTACCAGACCATAAAAAAACAACCATGTCAATATGAGAGTTTGGGCTGCGGATATAGCCCTAGAGTTAAAAAACAAGTGACTCTGAAGTCAGACTATATGGGTTCAGATCCTTTGGCAAGTTACTTAATTTCTATGAGAATCATTTTTCTCATCTAAAACTGGGAATAATAGTACTTATTACCTCGTAGGTCTATTTTGGAGATTAAATGAGAATTCCTGGCAAGTACTCATTAAATATGTATTGGTATTAATCAATTAACTTGTAGGATATTAGGCTTTTTTTAAAAAAACGCTGTTCTTTAGATGAAGTAGAATTTTGCCTTTTATGTAGAAGTCAGCTTGATTCATTGTTTCCAGGAAAAGCCATGACTACTGTTTCTTTTTCTTGGTCATGCTTTTGCTCGTGACTGGCAAAACTTAAGTTTTGCAGAAGGCTGCATGTTAAACATGAGATTCTGAACCATCCTTGTGGTAAAGGGTAGAAGTTCAAAGGAGATGAGTATCTTACTGATAAAGACAATTTTAAGAACCTGAAGGATTTTATGAGGAGTTCTGGTGGCGTTATGGTCAAAGCATTGGGCTGGTAACCGAAAGGTTGGTTGTTCGAACCCACCAGCCACTCTGGGGAAAAAGATGAAATAGTGCTCCCATAAAGATTTATAGTCTTGGAAACCCTATGGGGCAGTTCTACTCTGTCCTGTAGGGTTTCTGTGAGTCGTCATTGACACAATGGCAGTGGGTTTTTTGAAAGGATTTTATGATGTTATATTTTTCAACACAGTTACCTATAAATATCAACTAGATATCTCTTCTACCACTACT